GTAGGGAAGTGATTTACATAATGTGTATCAATATCTACTATATACGGCTAGGTGAGAGGAGTAATAGTTCTACAAGTCAATAAATAAACAAGCTTTCTGTCCTAATGAAACGTATATTTGTTTGCTGTGAATGACCTTTTAATCAATTTCTGACTGCTTTATAACATTAAACCATAAATATTCTGATACCATATGTGTATTTATATAGATCATTACCCACACAATCCTGGTCACTTTCAAGATTTCTATTGACATTGATAAGGACAGAATTGCATCTGTCACCCTCAGCTTTTACCTAAAATTCACTTACTCCTCAGTGACCTCAGCATATTCAGAGACTACAGCAAACAGTTTTGAATTTCTGAACCGAGGACACATTTTCTAGTATATTCCATGATTACACTATGAATATACAGGTTTTCAAACTTATGCACTGTGAAATAGTTTATTTTTAAAAGATGGTTGCAAATTTATTCCTAAAATGAAAAGTTTCTGACTTGTTTACCAAAGGCATATATAAGGCAAAAGAAAAATGTCACCTGCACTTTTAAAATAAAGATAATATGATGTTTATAAACCTAACTCTATAAATGAAAATGGCGGATAATGTAAACAAAATATAAACAACTACAGTTAAATTAAAATAAGGGGATAGAAACAAGATAAAGCATATTATTTAAAAAGAAATCTGTTGCAAAAAATAAAAATAAAATTAAGAATTGCGACAATACCAATACAGCTTACGGTAGCATATAGCAAGAAAAAACCTTGAACCTGTATCACAGAAAATAAATTCCTTGCCATGAGCTTCCCTGTGTGCTGGATAAAATCTTAACATTAGCAAGATGCAAGGCATATACAATCTTTTTAGAAAGATCCTTTTCTCCTGAGATAAGCAAGATACTAGTAGCATGACTAAAGCCAAGAGAAAAAAAAGTACTACTTTTAAGTATAGTTAGCCAAGTTCTCCCCCTGAACATATCTCATACTATTTGTTTCATTCAGTGAGAAACATATGCATCAAAAGCAAAAGAAGGTACTATGAAAACATAAATAATTTAATGCAAGGGATCCCAGCTTTTTTAATTCTCTTCAATAAGGGCAATTACAGCATTAGATAACAGTACTGACATCTTGATGCTAAAGACATCAACACATAGATTGTT